TCAAAATCACCTTCCGATAGCTCCTGAGTGATTTTAATTTTGAAAGGATGCCATTTCTCTTTCACTAAAATACGATGAATGGACATTGTACTAATCTCATGCGCCTGTACTGCCTTCCCCAAAGTAGAATGAGAATTTTCGACGAATGTTTGCATCATTTCGAAACTCTTATCCAAGTTTGTCGATAATTTTGGTCTGCCAGTGCGTTGTCGGTCTTTGACGGATCCTATTTCATCAAATCGTCTGACCATTTTCTGGACTGTAGACTTCGAAATCGGTTCACGATCTGGATAAGTATTGTTAAATAAAGTAGCTACTTGTTCATAAGATTTAATGTGGCCTCATATCCTCGCATCATCAATAAAGTAATTCTTTCTCTTTCAGACAATATCATTCTGGATGCCACTGAAATTTCACTTAGTTGCTTGATAGTGTGTCGTAATACGAAGAGCTGAATGTATTCAGGATAGGAAAACGTTCGACTACAGGTCAAATCGGAACGATTAATGTAGCAAGACTTTTATTGGAAAAGAACTATGAAAAGTATAATAATTTCGATATTTAAATTTTTCCCTAGTCTACAGTCCGCATTCATTGAATCTTCTGTCGATTCTTTTCAGAAGGAATTACTGCGAATGATGCGAGGATATGGTGACCACGTTAGATCCTTTGAATAAGTAGCTACTTATCTCTGCTGTGACATACACACACACACACACATACACAAGAGGTACTAGGTGCGCAACTAAGTTTCCGGGTTTCACACATGGATGGCGCTAACGACACATGTAGTCGACATACATGTCTGAAGTTGTTTTCTTTATATATTAGCTTTTTTTATATATTAGCTTTTTTTATATATTAGCTTGGACATCTGTTAACAATAACCAGTCGTAATACCAACACATATCGCAACGCAAAAATATTTTTTCTAACAACGAAGATGTCGAGTTTTGTGCCAAATAAACAGCATTTGCGGGAAGCTTTGCTTTTCTGCTTTAACTTGAAAAAAAGTGCAGCTGAAGCACGCCGTTTGTTTGAGGAGACCTACACCATCGAACATGCACCATCGAAAACTATCTGTGAAGATTGATTTAAACGCTTCAGAAGTGGCGATTTCGACACTGAGGACAAGGAGCGCTCCGGAAGACCAAAAACAATTGAGGACGCCGATCTGCAAGCGTTATTGGATAAAAATGATACGCAAACACAAGATCAACTTGCGGAGGCATTAAACATGACTCGCCAAGGTATTTCCAAACGTTTACATGCCATGGGAAAAATTCAAAAGGAAGGAAAATGGGTGTCGCATGAGTTGACTGAGAGACAGATGGAAAATCGAAGAGCCACTTCCGAAATTTTGCTTTTGCGGCATGAAAGAAAGAGTTTCCTGCATCGAATTGTTACTGGCGATGAGAAGTGGATATATTTCGAGAATTTCAAACGCAAAAAATCGTAGCTTTCACCTGGCGAAGCATCAACATCAACGGCACGGCCAAATCGCTTCGGAAAGAAGATAATGCTCTGCGTTTGGTGGGACCAGAAAGGAATCGTGTACTATGAGCTGCTGAAAAGAAGCCGGGCGAAACTGTCAATGGGCATCGCTACCGACAACAACTGATCAATTTGAACCATGCATTGCTCGAAAAACGGCCAGAATGGGACACGAGACACGAACGAGTGATATTGCAGCACGACAACGCTCCGTGCCATCGCATTTTCATCGTCTAGGACGCCATCAAAACGCTGAAATGGGATCTGCTATCGCACCCACCACATTCACTAGATCTGGCCCCTTCCGATTATCACTTGTTCCGGTCGATGGCGCATGGCTTGGCTGGGCAACACTTGGCCAATTTCGAAGAAGTGCAAAATTGGTTGGATGAATGGTTTCGGTCCAAAGACGCATCGTTTTATCGTCGCGGTATTCATGTATTGCCAGAGAGAGGGCAAAAATATATAGTTAACGAGGGACGATACTTTGAATAAACCATTTTTTGTTCTCTTGAAATTTTCCATTTTTCATTGATCAAAAAACCTGGAAACTTAGTTGCGCACCTAGTATAAATCCGATCGTGCAACCTCCACGCGGTACACCTTGGCTACTGCCGGCGGTATTGTAAATTTCAAGCCTTATAACTCAGAAAATACTTAATAAAACATAACTTATTTATAGTGTTTTGGAAAGCTCTCGAGATAAGCTATAAGAATATGTAATGAAAAATAGGGGGTTCCATTTAAAAAAACAAAGTTGGTCATATTCCGTATGACCTTGGAACGTTCACTCAAGGTCAATCCAATGATACTGTCTTATGTCCCGCCTCGAACCCCTCTCGAAATAACTTTTGTCTGAAACATTTCTTTCTAAAATGCATAGTTTATGAAATATTCGACCGTTTCCAGACTTTTGGTACATCCTGTATACAGGGTGTTTGATAGCTGATCATGCAGACGAAAGTTGGAGATAGATTGGGTGTAGCCGAGAAGAAAATTCATGTACCATAATGTCAAATTGCCAATAGTTATCGAGTTATTAATTAAAACATGTGAGCCAACGAGCGCGTAGAGAGCGAAGGGCGACCGCAGTAAGCACATAGACATTTGATACAGGCGGAGTCAGCGAGTAACGGTAGGCGAGCGCGCGCGGTGAGAGGCAACGTAAACAACAAGAGGCGAACGCACGCGACGAGGAGCGAGCGAGCGCGAACGACAAGAGGCGAGCGAGCGCGACGAAGAGCGAGCGAGCGCGAACGACGAGGAGTGAGCGAGCTATAAGGAAAAAGCTATAAAGAAAAAGCTCGCTCGCTCCTCGTCGCGCGCGATCGCCTCTTGTCGCTTACGTTGCTCCTCGCCGCGCGCGCTTGTCTACACCGCAACTCGCTGATTCCGCCTGTAACAAATGTCTACGTGCTTACTGCGGCCGCCCTCCGCTCTCTACGCGCTCGTTGGCTCACATGTTTTAATTAATAACTCGGTAACTATTGCCAATTTGACATTATGGTACATGACTTTTCTTCTCGGCTACACCCAACCTATCTCCAACTTTCGTCTGCATGATCAGCTATCAAACACCCTGTATACAGTGGCGTGCAAAAGTTTCGAGCCATAGTGTCTTTTTAAGATACATGACAATATATTGATTTGCTCTAAAAATTAATTACATAAAATAGTTGACATAACATTCTTACAAATAATAGTACAGTTACGAAATTACATAGTTTCTAATTATTTAGTCATGTAATATTTACATGTGTTCAAAAGTATTGAGCCGTATTCTTGTTGTGACTTTATGAGCCCAGTTTGTTTATGTTTCTTATGAAATTCTTTCGTAAATATTTGCTTTAACTAATCTAGTCTATTTTAGTCTATTGTCTACCACAATACCGAAACATACAAGCCTTCAATTACGCAAAGCCGTGATTAATCTTTCTTAACAAGGAAAGGTTTCTCGCGAAATTAATAATTGCTTATTAATTGATAAAAGTACTGTAAATAGGATTATTGCTAAATATAAGTTGACGAATTCTCTAGCTGATAAACTACGACCTCGTGGTAGACCTCGTAAAACTACAAAGCGCGTCGATAAAATGATTAAAAGAAAGTCGATAGCAGATGTTAGAAAAACTGCCATGGATATTTCTCGAGAACTAGGAGAAGAAAATCTTGCTGATATTAGTCGAAGTACAATATCTCGACGTCTAAAGGAAATAGACCTTTTAAGACGTGCTGATGTAAAAAAAACCATTAATTAGTGCAAAAAGTAAGAAAGCTCGATTAAATTTTGCAAGGAAATTTGAACATTGGACTGAAGTTGATTGGCGAAAAGTACTTTTCTCTGACGAGTCAAAGTTTCAGTTATTCGGAAGTGACGGTAGAAAGTATATACGACGTCCAACAGTCACAAGATATAACTCAAGATACCAAATTCCTACCGTAAAACATGGTGGAGGTAACGTGATGGTTTGGGGATCATTTTCTTATAATGGAGTTGGTCCATTGATTGAGATTACGAGTACTATGGACGCTATAATGTATCGAGATATATTGACACAGCATATGCTGCCATATGCAATTCGAAATATGCCACGTGGTTGGATTTTCCAACAAGATAACAATTTCAAACATTCATCAAAACTAATAAAAACAAAATAAATTTTTCATCATGAAAAAAATGTGAGTTCTTGACTGGCCCTCGTAATTGCCGGACTTGAATCCTATTAAGCATTTGTGGTAAGAACTCAAACTACTCACAGAAAATAAGAAACACTCGAATAAAGCTGAATTATGGCAAGATTTGTAAACTCAATGGCAAAATTTACCTCAAGACCTCATTTCTAATTTAATAGCATCAATGTCTCGCCGTTGTGCTACAGTGATTGCTTCTAAAAGCATGGCAACAAAGTATTAAGTTTAAAAAAATGTTGACAACATTTTATGCAGTAAGGAGAAATAGAATTATTAATTGCTTAATAGAAGTGAAAAAGTAACGAGGTAAAGCAATTTTATACCGGTAGCAATAGTAAAGAGATTAACAGAATTGTTAATTATTTTATAAGAGGAAATTACTATTGATAATTTTAATGTCATCTTATCTGACGTTGTTAAAACAAATTTTCTCATAGTTTTCGTAAGATGTTTTTTATACATTATTCAATAATTTATATTTTCTGTTATTATTTTTCAATAATATATTTTTCTTATGCATAAGAAAACTTTTTGGCGCAATACTTTTGCACTGTTTGTAATAAGACATTGTGTAAAAATAAAGTATTTAGAATTATGAAGAATTTGTAAAGTTTATATAATTGTAGGATAAATAAATACATTTTGTTTATATATATGTGTAAAGTTTTTAGCGCTCATTATGAAATGAATATATAAAAATAATTGTGTGGCTCAAAAGTTTTGCATGCCACTGTATATATATATATATGTCACGAATATAAAACTTATCTTGAAGACGACTGATATACATTCTATATGCGTTTTATTTGTTGCAGTTGAGCACAGTACAAATCGAGCTGAAGTCTCTGAAGTGTGAGCCCACGCTTGCCAGTCAACAGCAGGATCAGAAGCAAGATCATAACGACAAGACGAATATTTTTCATAATGAAGTGAGTGTACGCAGACGCAGCTATGTACGTGCCCTAGCTTATCGTACTCACTTTGAGGAACGTTTGCGGAACATTGAGCGGAAAATCTCTCTTGTGGCGCGAAAACGGGCGATGGTGGAGAAGCGAGTAGTGTACGAGGATGGTGAACATTTGGACAAACGAGTGAAAAACCTCGAGTTGATGCAGGAAGAACTCATAAAGAGGATGTTTAATGCCAGTCGGGACTTAATGCTGATGAACGAACTGGGCGAGTCAGTGGTGCGACTGTATGACTCAATACACGTACTTGAGGAAGATATCAATACTAATCGTTCTGAAATAAAGCGAGAACTGGCACAGCTGGGAATCAATGCAGTGCGCAAAGCTGCTGAGTTGTCATTAACTAGAGAGGAATTGGGAAACTTGCGGCGTACCGTTCAGGCGTTGAGCGTAAGTGCGTCACAGTTGCAGGAGAAGAGTGACGCGCAGCGAAAAAACCTAGACGCATTGAACGAGACCATCAGTCGTCTAGATGTTTCCCGGAACTTGGTCCAAGCGGTGAACGTCACACGCGAGCTAGAACAAGTGGAGGATCAATATCGGCTCATGGTGGATTCCTTACCTGGCAATTGCGAGGAACGTAATGGTCTTACTCTGCTAGCTTCTAGTCCTGGAGTGCCGTTGTTTGCTTCTTGCCGCGCCGGCTGGATCGTTATATCACGTAGGACTCATGGTATCGTAGATTTCGATCGTACATGGAACGAATATTCGGTTGGATTTGGCTCACCGGTTAGCGAGTTTTGGATTGGCAATGAAGCATTGCACCGGCTCACTCGTGACAACTGCAGTCGGTTGCGCATCGACTTGACGGACACGTATGGTGTGTACTGGCGTGCTGAGTACGAACATTTTAGCGTTGACTCTGAAGAAACTGGTTACCAGCTTCATGTATCTGGTTATTCCGGCAACGCAACAAACGCTCTATCTTATCAAGATAGCATGGCATTCAGCGCCAAAGACCGCGACATGGATATTAGCAACATCAATTGCGCAGCTAATTACCAAGGTGGATGGTGGTTTAGCCACTGCCAGCATGCCAATCTTAATGGCAGGTACTCGTTGGGTCTCACATGGTTCCAATCTACCAGGAACGAATGGATGGTAATCACATCTGCGGAGATGTCAGTACAGCGAAAACAAAATTGTTGATAGTTCTGAAAATAGAATGAATCAGTGAATCTGTTTGCATAGAGAATAATGAACAATTAAGTGAAATAATAACTTCCATTGTCTTAAATGACCACTGTCTTAAAAAAGTCTGAGCGATCTATGTCATACATACTTGCACGTAACTATTCGACGAGAATACTAACTGTAATACCAAAGAATTATATATAATTTAAAACTCAATGTAAATACGATGTACAATTGTGCAGGTTGAATGCTGTAAACGTATCACGAACGTACAATCTTATTCTATTTGTATAATAGTAATAAAAACCTAATGAGATTTTTAAATTTTGCACTTGCTAATAAATTATGCAGTAAGGAGAAATAGAATTATTAATTACTTAATAGAAGTGAAAAAGTAACGAGGTAAAGCAATTTTATACCGGTAGCAATAGTAAAGAGATTAACAGAATTGTTAATTATTTTATAAGAGGAAATTACTATTGATAATTTTAATGTTATCTTATCTGACGTTGTTAAAACAAATTTTCTCATAGTTTTCGTAAGATGTTTTTTATACATTATTCAATAATTTATATAATTAATTTATATGTAAACATACAGAGTGGACCATTTTAATTTATCCACACTGATAACTTCGAAAATTATGGAAATATCGAAAAAAGAAAAGTTATAAGGTTTGGGTAGAGGGTCCGTAGAGGGTCAACTGATGGTAATCTTGATTTTGACCTTGAAGAGCATTTTCAAGGTCATTTGAAGGTTAACTTTGTTTTTCTTAATAGGAACTCCTATTTTTGACCGCGGATTTGGAAAAAGCGGAAAATTTTATGTTCAAATATGTTATCATGATAAGGGTCAATTTGACCCTTAGAGGTCATCTGAAGGTCAAACAATGACCGAAATAGAAGTTTTAGGGTTCATAGAACTTGACCGGGCTCAGAAAGAGCAAGTAATTTCGTATTTAGATTGAGTTAGGTGGACCCAGAGATCATTTGAAGGTCAAATAGCTCATGATCGATCATGAGACTAGTTCCATATTTTACTTAAGTTTTTGACCTAATCGAACCTGAAAATAATAGTTACTATCAAGTCTTAGCCTTTTCTATTCGATGAATCCTTACGTGTGCTCTGAGCTGGAACAACAACGATAAATTATTGTTTAGAAAAATTAATTTTTTTGCTTTGATTTTGTTCCTAGATTGGAATTTATTCAGTTTCATCAGATACTAACTTGTATCATTTTGTTGCTAATTTCCTGATACGTGGTGTTGGATATGGTTGCAAAATTATTCGAAATTATTCATTCTTGCTTACGAGCTATTTGACCTTCAAATGATCTCTGGAGGTCAACCTAACCCAATCTGAATATGATATTACTCACTCTTTCTGAGTCCGGTCAAATTCTATAAACCCTAAAACAGAGCTCGGCAAAATGTGCACGTGACGGCTGATTTTCGACTATCTCCGCTCACCGCTATTCCCTTTACCTCACCGCTCCGCGCGCTGCCTACAAGCCGCTCGAGTCTCAGGAGCGTGTTTCCAATAGTTTTCCACGTCACCCATGAAGTACTATTGTTAACGCGTTTTTTTTTTAAGTGGTGTCCCCAGTAAGTCTAATCCACTGATGACTGTAACAACCCGTAACTAATTGAACAGAAGCAAAATAAAATATGTTAAATGAAGAATATTCAATTTGATTTTCGGCGTCTTTTATTGGTAAGAGTGGAAACGTCAATTTGGATATAGCATGTAGCGAACCGCATAAGACGTGGTAAGGAATCGTCGCTTAAAGAAGAACTTCTCACTTTTTATAAACTTCATTTTTGAAAAATGAAGAGGCCTACTGGGGATACCACTTAAAAAAAGACGCGTCAACAATAGTACCTCATGGGTAATGTGAAAACTATTGGAAATATGCTCCTGAGGCTCGAGGCAGCTTGTAGGCAGCGCGCGGAGCGGCGAGGTAAAGGGAATAGCGGTGGGCGGAGATAGTCGAAAATCGGCCGTCGCGTGCACATTTTGCCGAGCTCTGCCCTAAAACTTTTATTTGGGTCATTGTTTGAACTTCAAATGACCTTTAGAGATCACGTTGACTTTTACATGATAACATATTTGAACATAAAATTTCCCGCTCTTTCCAAATCCGCGGTAAAAAATAGGGGTTTCTATTCAGAAAAACAAAGTTTACCTTCAAATGACCTTGAAAATGCCCTTCAAGGTCAAAGTCAAGGGGTCACCTCCCATCAGTTGACCTCCTACGAATCTTATAACTTTTCTTTTAGACATTTTTGATATTTCCATAATCTTCGAAGTTATCAGTGTGGATAAATTAAAATGGCCCAACCTATATATTGATTTTGAAACTTATTTTTTATATTTTGGATGGGTAGTGTCAACTATTAGAAGCAAGAATTGCTGAAGCTTAAGTTAAGGGGACATACTACAGTAAAGGCACGGAAAAGTATCTTTTTCAGGAATGTTAGGAGAAAAGTTTATGAACCGTAGAAAAAATATGACTTGATAGATCGATAGAGTACATTTTAAAGATATTTTTATTATGTTGTTGAACGGATATATTAACATATATTGCCATTACACAGCATTGTAGACCACTATGATCTAAAAAACGTGATACATCAGCAGCATCGAGAACTTAAGTTATAATTATCTGAAATGAAATTAGTTTGAAAATTTCGGAACTATATGAGTGTAGTTTCTGTTGCACATAGGAATATTTTAAAATAATGTATTTTCATGAAATAGCAGTGGTTCGAAGACACAAATTCCAAATTTCACTAAAATTTGGCTTCTTAAACATCTCATTCTCCAAAACTAAGAAAAACCCCTATGTGCAATGAAAACTACTCATTTTATGAAGCTACTGTTAAAGCCGAAAGTCAATCGGTCGAAAATTACTCTAGTTATGGATGCCGCCAGTTGAGAAAAGGTGATTTCGAGAAAAACGCGTTTAAAGTTTTAGTATGAATTATTTAATAGAAATCAGTCAAGTATTTTAGTTTATCATAGGGAATTTATTCCAGAGCCATAACTGTTATATATTTATAATAAAACAATGTTATATAGCAATGTTATATAACTGTATCTTCTAGTTATACTAGTATAACAGCAACATAACTTCAACATAGCACTGTTATGTAATAAGTATAATATTTGCATTATATATATATATATATGTTATATATTTACGTTATATAACGTTATATTTCTGTTATATATATAATTGCATCTTTTATGAGTAGGAAATTACAACTAACGAGTGTGTTTGCAACATCTACCTTATATTACACAGGATGTGCCAAAAGTTCTGAGACGGCTAATTATTTAAAAAAATAATGATTGTTTAAAACAATCTTTGAAACAAAAGTTGTAGAGCTTAAAAAAAACCATTAGATATTGATAATTATTGACCTTGAAATAACCTTGAGAAACTTTATCAAGGTCGACATAAAAATCTTAAATGGAAACTCTAATTTTTTATTACACCGTCTTTTTCCACCAATTAATTTGAACAACTTTTGTCTGAAACATTTTTTCATTTGCCTAATATTTTTCGAGATATTTAAGGATAAGTTTTTCAATATTTAACTTACCATATCTCTCTAACTGTTTGTCGGGATAAAAAATGGTACTAGACTTTCCTATTCTACTTGGTCTCAAGAATATATTGTTACAATAGCGCCCTGACTTTTGTTAATTTGATGATTTTGAAATTTCGAAAAATCGATAAATTAATAAAAAATAGAGCATTATTGTAGTAATATATTCTTAAGATCAAGTAGAATAGAAAAGTCTAGTACCATTTTTTATTCCGACAAACAGTTAACGAGATATGGTAAGTTAAATATTGAAAAAGTTACCAAGTTATCCTTAAATATCTAAAAAAATATTAGGCAAATAAAAAAATGTTTCAGACAAAAGTTGTTCAAATTAATTGGTGGAAAAAGACGGTGTAATAAAAAATTAGAGTTTCCATTTAAGATTTTTATGTCGACCTTGATAAAGTTTCTCAAGGTTATTTCAAGGTCAATAATTATCAATATCTAATGGTTTTTTTTAAGCTCTACAACTTTTGTTTCAAAGATTGTTTTAAACAATCATTATTTTCTGAAATAATTAGCCGTTCCGGAACTTTTGGCAGCCGTTCCGGAACCTTGACCTTGTATGTTACATTTGTTATATCATAGCAATCTAACTTTTATTTATCAGTATTTGTAGGAGATTTGTATAGCCAAAACACATGGAGCTAAAAGGGCTAAGGCCCAGTTGCACCAACATTATTTTGGTTTTAAGTGAGACTTAAATATATCTGTCTTTATTTATTTAGTAAGAAAGATAAAGATAGACTTATGTTTAAGTCTCACTTAAAATCAAAATAATGTTGGTGCAACTGGGCCTAAGAGGAATACTAGCGATCATTTCAGGCCGTCAACAGGAGACCAGCCAAGCGTTTCAACGCAATGCATTTGTTTTAACTAAAACTCATATAACTCGACAAATACTTCGAATTTCATGAAACTCTTTTAGGAGCATATTTCTAAAGTATTAATCTTTCGAAAAATGTAAAAAAGAAAAAATCGATTTTTTAGTGTTCCCCCTTACAATAAGCGGTTATGCTGTCGTTTCTTCCCATATGTTTGGTTTTTGTATTATATAAGATATTTGGTAACTTATATAGTTATAGCCAATGGAGGCATAGAACTGATTAAGACAAACATAAAAATCCTATACCATTTTGCGATATTCGCAATAATTATCAAGTTATTAATTATAGAAATCTGAGGAGTAAGGGCGTGACGAAATTGGTGATTGGAAAAGCATTATAGGCAATCGAACAAGAGCGTAGCCCAATCGATCTAGCAACTGTTATTAGTGCGCGGCGAGAGGAAGGATGATATGGGATGATGATACATCACTATTCGACTATGCACTAGTCTTATTTCGCTACTCCTATCTCTCGCCGTGTGCAGGTAAGAGGTATTGAATCAACTGTGCCATGTTGTAACCCAAATGCCTATAACACTCTTCCAATCATTCATCTCGGCGTACGCTCACTTACTCTCTCTCTCCCTCTCGCTCCTTCCCCCTCTCTCTCTCTCCCTCCATCTCTCTTTCTCTCCTCCTCGCCTTCCCCCATCTCACCCCTCTCTCTCTCCCCTCACCATCTTCCCCTCTTTCCCCTATTCCCCTCTCCCTCCCTCATCTCCCTCTTCTCCCCCTTCTCCCCTCCCTCCTCCTCCCAACTTCACCATCTCCCTTTCTCCCCTGTACCTATTTCCTCCCC